GTCCCATAGAATCTCATAGAAAGTTTGCCACGAATACTCCGCTATCCGCAAATATATAAAATAAGAAATTACTCACGACCTTACTCTTCCCTCAAAGGAATTTTTTTTTTCTACAAAACACAAACTGTGGTTTCCCTGTTTTTATAAAAAAAAAAAAATTTTTTTCAAAAGGCAATAAACGTTTTATAAACAGTCCAACAATATTTATACATATAACGTACTTACGTAAAAATGGCTGAAGTCGAACAATTTGCCTTCCAAGCTGAGATATCTCAGCTTATGTCAATTATTATTAACACTTTCTACTCAAATAAAGAGTAAGTTTGGGTTTTGTTATATACTTGATTATATTTGAGTTGACTATCAACGAAAGCATGATATGTTTTACTGACCATTTCTATTTTTGAATCTCATTATGTAGGATTTTCCTTCGTGAAATAATTTCTAATGCTTCAGATGCTTTGGATAAGATTCGATATGAATCGCTTACTGATCCTTCAAAACTTGATAGTGGTCGCGACCTTTATATTCGAATCATTCCAGATAAGGAAAATAACGTTCTTATTTTACGGGATACCGGAATTGGCATGACTAAGGTATCATCATTCTCAAATGATCGAAAGTTGTCATCGGAAAATGATTATTAACAATTGGATACATATTTTATTAGGCCGACCTTGTGAACAATCTTGGTACTATTGCTCGTTCAGGTACTAAGGCTTTCATGGAAGCTTTACAATCTGGAGCTGACATTTCTATGATTGGTCAGTTTGGTGTGGGTTTCTACTCTGCCTACTTGGTTGCGGACCGTGTTCAAGTGATCACAAAGCACAATGACGACGAACAATACATTTGGGAATCGGCAGCCGGTGGATCATTCACCATCGCTCGTGATACAATTAATGAACCCCTTGAACGAGGTACAATGATTAAACTGTTTCTTAAAGAAGATCAGTTAGAGTATCTTGAAGAACGTAAAATTAAGGAGGTTGTCAAGAAGCATTCCGAATTCATTGGTTATCCAATTCAACTCATTGTCGAAAAGGAAGTAGAAAAGGATGTCCCAGATGAAGAAGGCGAAGAAGAAGTAGAAGAAGAAGTTAAGGAAGATAAAGAGGAGGGAGAAGAAGATCAAACAACTAAAATTACGGAAGTAAAAGATGAGGAGGATAAGAAAAAAACGAAAAAGATCAAAGAAAAAACAAAGGAAACCGAAGAGCTGAACAAGACTAAACCTATTTGGACAAGAAATCCAGATGATATTAAAAACGAAGAATATGCGGCATTCTATAAGTCACTTACTAATGACTGGGAAGAACATTTGGCCGTAAAACATTTTTCTGTCGAAGGTCAACTCGAATTCAGAGCAATTCTATTCGTCCCACGTCGTGCACCATTTGATCTCTTTGAAACCAAGAAAAAACGCAACAACATTAAGCTTTACGTACGCCGTGTCTTTATTATGGACGATTGTGAAGATTTAATTCCCGAATATCTTAACTTTATCAAAGGAATAGTCGATTCAGAAGATCTACCACTTAACATTTCTCGAGAAATGCTTCAACAGAACAAGATTCTTAAAGTTATTCGTAAAAACATAGTGAAAAAATGTATGGAACTCTTCTTGGAGATTGCTGAGGATAAAGATAATTTCGCAAAATTCTATGAGGCATTTGCCAAAAACATTAAACTTGGTATTCACGAAGATTCTCAGAATCGCGCCAAATTAGCCGAATTCCTTCGTTATTATTCCACAAAATGCACCGATGAACTTACCTCTCTCAAAGATTACGTAACACGTATGCCAGAAAAACAAAAAGATATTTACTACATTACAGGAGAAAACCGTCAAGCTGTTGAAAACTCACCATTTGTTGAGGTGTTAAGGAAACGAGGGTATGAAGTCTTACTTATGACCGACCCCATTGATGAATACTCCGTTTCACAACTTAAAGAATACGATGGTAAGAAACTTGTGTGCATCACAAAAGAGGGGCTTGAGCTTGATGAAGATGAAGATGAGAAGAAGAAACGTGAAGAAGAAAATAAGCAATATGAAGATTTGTGCAAACAAGTTAAAGAAATTCTCGGTGATAAAGTTGAAAAGGTAAATTTTTTTTTTTATTTTAATAGTGATACCAATTTTTTTTTTTCAACTGTATTAAATGTATATATATATATTTTTTAGGTTCTTGTATCGAATCGTATTTCAGAGTCGCCATGTGTTCTTGTAACTGGTCAATACGGTTGGTCCGCCAACTTTGAACGTATCATGAAAGCTCAGGCGTTACGTGATTCTAGTATGGCATCATATATGGCCTCTAAAAAGATTATGGAAATTAATCCACAACATCCGATCATTAAATCACTCAAATCTAAAGTTGAGGCCGATAAAAATGATAAGACTGTCAAAGATCTTACATGGCTTCTTTTCGAAACATCACTTTTACAATCCGGTTTTAGTTTGGAAGAACCATCATCATTTGCCGGCAGAATTTTCAAGATGATTAAATTAGGTCTTGATATTGGTGAGGAAGAGGATACTACGGAAACTGAAGAAGTAGTAACAAATATTGCAGAATCGAGTACTGCTGAAGCTTCTCAGATGGAGGAAGTTGATTAAATATAGTATTCGGGTTTATGTAATCAATTTCTATGTTATAATCTTATAATGGACATTAAATAGTTTACATTTGCGTCTTTTCTTGCGTAGAATTTTAGCATATTTGCAGTATTGCATTATATTCAAAGAGTGTCTTATTATAATTCGAAATTATCTGCGTTGCTAATATTTTTACATGTTACGTTATTTACCTAATGAAAAAGTTTAGAATGTAATAAATGTTTATAACCATATTTACATCTTTGTATAAATTTTTAAACATTGTTTCGTTAAAAGTGAATTTGATTTA